ATATATATATATACACACATACGCATTGTTACACATTATACATGTATATGCATACAGACATATAATATATAAAGAAAGTGAGGTATCTAAACAGTAACAGCAAGCCCGCACCGAACAAGTATTGACACAGTATACTCTATGTCATGTCATGTCATCATACATACATTTTCATTCGGCAGGCTGCGGAACCGTAAAGTCGCGCCTACGATCATACATACACGCATACATACATGCATACGTACATACTAGCGCCCGACGTCCTGAACTGAGAGTGCCCAGCTTCGCACGTGCTGGCTTTTGTCTAGCAGCCTGCACCTCCCGTAAGAATTGAATCGAGTTTCACTCGGCGAACATCATGCCAAGGTTGCATTGAGCAACTTCAGACACGGACATCTTCAGGGTGCCATATAGCTGCACAAACAGAAAAAGCTTCTGGCTTATCAACTCACACCTCCACCACCGGCTAGCGACAAACCTACTGCATGAACTAACCAAGTTTTGTGCTTGAATGCTACGAATGAGGGCCAATGCCTGCCATTACCTGCCTTGTGCTCGTCAACAGGTTTCCCCTGGCAACTGGGCTCGCTGCCGCCCAGCAAACGCGCTCTGCGAGATCGACAGCCTCCAGGGAGGCAGTATAACTGCTAAGAACAAATCCCAACCCAACAAGTAGCACTATGTGCTTGCCGTCCCTCGGTTCATATATATATATATATATGTATATATATTATACACAGACATGTATGTACATCCATATCTCTCTCTCTCTCTCGCGGACTCAGTATCTGTATATACATATACAAATATGGATATAGATACAGATATAGACTGTATTGTAATGCACCGAAAACCTACATTGAATTAAGGCCCCTATATTAATGTATATATATTATACATATATATATATATATATAGAGAGAGTAAGTTAATTAACCCCTGGGCTCAGATCCCTACTTCAAAGACCGCCGCCTTGCTCCCCCCCACTCAACGCAAAAGGCCAATAGTTTTCAGATACCTATATAAACCTGCATCGGGGCATGCAAACCAGATCTCGGCAGGCGCACACGTGTCGCGGAATCCACGCCGTGGCCCATGTATAATCCGTACATGGTCATGTCGATGCAGATATGTGCAGACGTGTCTGCGCAAAGAATTTGCCTAATATGGTGTGCGCTACGGCACGATATACTACGAAACCTTACCACACCTTAACCGTCACCTCCCCTTAAACTCTCAGGTTCCATGGTAAAAGCGAGAGAAGTCGTGATTGGAAATTGGGAGATCTGGGCTTCCGTAGTCTCGGCCTCCCGTTCGGCCGTGGCCTGGGCCAGGCCTGTGCGAAGGAGAGGGGAGAAGGCGAAGGGACGAGTGGGAAAGGATTTAAAGGGTTTAGGGTTTATGTTTTAGGAGTTAGGGAAAAGATTTAAGGAAGGTCTGCAGGTATCGACGACACTCCCGGCTTCTGAAACTTAAAGAGTAGATGCGAATCTGCATCCCATGCAGCGTATGGCGTGTGCGGCCGAGCAGCCCTGAAGCTTTGAGATGAGAAGGTGCAGGTCGGAGAGAGTGCCCCGGAACCTGGGAAAGAGCTGCATGGGCATTGTCGGATTCTTAACTCTAGATGCTCTTAAAGATCAACACATCTTCGAAGACAGTCAGTGCTCCTGCACATACGTGGCGAAGAACCACTGCCACACCACAACTGTGAGGCAACCGTGTCCCTTCTTCAACGGCTGCGTGGCCTGCGCTCGTGAAATAGAAATGCACAAAGAACAACGGCCCCACCATGGCCAAGAGGCGTGGCCGCATCCCGGGCAGCCTGTGGAATGTTATGGGCCTCGTCAATGACGACGATGGCATCCTGGCAGAAACCCTGCGCTGTAGGAATGTCCACGACTAAGGGAACCCGAAACACGACCAAGGCTAGGAAAGCATAGGAAAGCCGCGAGCCTGTGCTATTCGTGCTTATCCCGGAACGTCTGTGATAGGAGGAGACCATGTCAAACGGGCTCCGAATCGACAGGAAGCACGGAAAGGCTCCTGAAGCACGGTGCTGAAACTGCTGGTCTCCCGCACACAGGGATCCTAAGCTGCCAGGAGCGTGTCTTGCAGTAAATGCTGCGATTGAAACCTCGATGATCCATGCTGATAGGCGTGGAATCAGACAAGAAAACAGAACCTACGCCCTCCGAAGAATCTGGGGCGGCCCAGAGAACCGGGGATGTACCAGCAAGAAGAGCAAACCCTTATGCTGGTTTCTAGACTCGAACTGCAAAGCCCGCAGCACCAAGTCTCTACCGACCAATGTACAGTCTGATACACACAAGTCTCAATCAACCCTCCCTCCAGGATCCCACCCTGGCAAAGGACTCAATCGAAGATCCTTGGCTCTGAAAACAAAGGTCGAAACTACTGCCGAAGATCCTCTCGTATCCATACCTCTAATTCTAAAAATCCTGACAATTGCATGGGTCGTGACAAGAGCAACGAGTGAGTGATCGCTCTGCTTCTCTCCCTCCCTAAACTCTAAACCCTGCCCGGCGGCTAAAAGCTGCGGATATGTCGCAAGGACAAGGCCCGCTCCCTCGGCCGTCCTCGGCCAGCTCAGCTCGTGGTTGGAGCCCACTTTTGTTTGAAGGGGGATGGGGGGAACTCTAGGAGATTTGAAAGCAGAACGCACGCCCATTTGCTGGCACTCTGCAGGTCCAAGGCGGCATGGTACGGGCAGGTGCGGGTCTCGTGGCCGTCCTTCATGTGGCAAATGGCAGACATGTGCAGGAAGACTCTGGTAAACGCTGGAAGATGCCAGACTGGTATCAAATGTCCCAGGGCACCATGGGACCGTTGTCACGGAAGCACTGCTATCTAGCACGAAATCTCTGCTGGTGCTGTTATGTGAATCCTCCGGCCGGCATCGATCCTGTCTCTGCGAAAAAAGACAGACACTGGCTCCGACATGTTATGAAATGCCCTCACACTCGCGCACGAACATAAGGAGTATATACAACTAGCCGATCATCTCCAACTGTCGGCGTCTCTCCCCGACAGCAAAGCCTGCCTTGACTAGGTCCTCGATGTCGTAGACCGCTAGCCTAAGCCAAATGGCCACGTCATGACTCTAAACAGTCCTGTAGTAATCCTCAGTGTGTGCTCGTCTTATCATCTAGAATCTAGAAAACCACAACCAGGAAAGATAAGGACAAGAGCTCATTAACCGAGCAGCTTCCCTCCTGCCTCGAACTTCGACCGATGCTCTTTGATCGTCGGGTAGCCGATTGCTTCCTCAGCAACGACTCGACATCTTAACACCTTCTCACGCTGAAACTAGACTACGGTGGGGCCAGAAGCTGAAGAATCAAGTTCACCTGTTGTTGAAAATGAAAGATGTTGTCACATTCATTGGTCGGTCCAGCAAAGGTGCGCGCGCACGGAGTAGCATCAGCTCATCCTCATACACCGTACTTATCATCTTGGTCCTGGTCCTGCACACCATCCTCGTCCTCATCATCGTCATCATCATCATCACCATCATCAATATTCTCTTCGTCACCACCATCATCAATGTCACCATCGCGGCCACCACAACCCCAAAAGCACCAAAGCGAAGCCTGGTCTCGGCATTGTCCAGGTGCTCACATCCAGAAATGCCTCCTCCCAAGGCGCTGCCATTTCGAGTCCTAAGCAACTGCTTAGGACAAGTCGAGGTTCACAGCCGGACCGTGCCCGGAGGGTTAAGTTAGGCACATCTCTCTGGAGACACTACCAATGCCTTGCAAAGTGCGAAGTCAACGAGCGTATGCATACACTTCGGTAACTATGTGCAAGCAGGCAGGCAGGCAGGCAAGCAGCAGCCAAGCAAGCTAGCACTATGTCTGTATGTAAGTATGTGTGCATGAATGAACGTACTCGTACTAGTACAAAGCGGCAATGACAAACATAATAGAACTCGTGTCCCTAGAACTAAGCCATTCAGCATGCAATATGTTCTACAGTTGCATGTTTGTGTTCTGCATCAGCAGCTATTGGAGAGAACTTGCATGTTCTCCAGAAGAAACCATCCACACCACGTACGCGTCGTTTCAGAATCGACTCTGCTCGCATGTTTGACTCTGCGAGGACATGGAACTCCAATGGCCGTCGCAACTGAAGGACTTGGCAAATTTAGATGAAGCACATGGTCGCCATCTCGCATGCCGTCGACTTGTCTTGCGCCTAGGCTTCTCAAAGCCGAAGGATGTTGTCGTTTTCTTGAGCTTGATAATTAATATGACAGCCTACACCTTGCAGGAAACTCGCCCACCAAACTGAGCCGAGCTGGAACCCTAGCACGCAATTAGAAGTCAGCTACACTATATCAAGACCGAAAGCTGTCGCGAATTGCTGCCCGGGCACTGCTTGCACAAACGGGTGCAAGCAAAACCGCTCTCGAGAGATTCCTGAGTATATACTGAGGGCGAAATGTTTGGCGTCTTTTTATCATGAAGCTACTGCAGAGAATGCTTTAGAGGATCCAACCGCGTTGAGTGTGATCCTGTGGGCACTACCAACGGTTGTGCCTGCTTGCGCACCGCTGCATTCTCTTCACAAGTAGGCATGGAAGACCGCGAACCAGCATCAATGCTCTTAATATCTCGCAATCCGAACAGCGAAGTCTTTTCTAGAACCAATGAGCCCATTGGAAAAAGCGCAGTCAGTTTCGGTATACTGATGATAGCACCCAGCTAGAAAGACCACCTTGTCTCATGGCTTCTTGGGCATGACTCACAGTCTCACCAGCGCCAGCTGAGATGCGTAATGCTTCAAGCGGACGGTAGGGAACTCTCCTGGAGATGTGGACGTTCGATTGACGGCTGGATATTATACGCATACTATAAACACATCCTGCTGCAGCACCAACTCAACTCTGGACGTCCCAGTTTTTCGCCTATGTCTCTCCAATTGTGAAGTAATCAGGCTCCAAGTGCCAACCAAACTTGTGAGTCTGTGCCCCGTCAGCATCACGGGAAAGCGGGAGATCCTCAACTCTGCAACGGCATGCTGCAGCCTGAGGCGAAGTCCCGACAAGGCCATGGGAAAGGCTGACATGTTTGACCATGTCTTCTACAGGCATCAGCAAAACTAGCAAAATCACATGACTTCCACCACCACCGCCACCGCCGCTACCACCACTACCACCACCACCACCAGAAACACTACTGTAGTAGCAGAAGAAGAAGTAATAGGGTCAGTAGCTGTTGTTGTTGGTACAGACACAAACTTCAGCCCGTAACTTATGTGAACTTTAAACTTTAAACATGTGGGAATGCTTCCGGCGACCGCAAAGCGTGCCTGTAGAGTTTTAGGGAATGCAAGCCATGGTTTACAC